ATGTTCGGCCTTTCAGTCAAGAGACCGTTATAATATGTGATGGACAATCCCACTATTCGTTAGTAAAAATTAGTCCAAGAGTTGGCGGTGGGTGGTATTGACTAACTGCCTTCCTTCTAGTCTATCCCCCAGTGGCACAGCGGTATGTCTGCGGACTTACAACGCTAGAAACCAGGTTTCGATACCCGTTGTGGGCAGAGCAAAGATAATCTATTGTGATTATGTAGCTTTGTGCTTAACTTCGAACAAAATTTAAATATGGATATTTTGTTTGTTTTGTAAAGAAAAAACTTTTTATTAGCGTGAGTTCTGGTTTATAAATCTGTTCGTTGATAATTCGTTATAAGAATGTCGTCACTATATCTAGCAGCGTAACTGATGTACAAAACCTTACTAGAGCCTTCCTTATTCAGATTTTTAATGTATACAAATTTGTAACTTGATGTTACCTCCCATTTGAATTCCTTATATTTATTGGAAGACATGTTGGCCAAATTACACAAATATATTATTAATTAAAAATAAAGAGCCTATAAGAATGTGAAACAGTGGTAATTTTTATCATAAAAGTCTTTACAGTTAAAACTTGTATACGTGAGAACCATTTGCACTAGTGATCGAAACGTTCTATCTCTTTAAACAAATTTTCCTTACTGTAAAAGCCGTAACTTGTAATAAAATAATTGCCACAGAAACCTCTTTTTTTATTGACTTATAACATTGATTTTACCAGAATTATTAAAAGATCTTGAAATTGTCGATAAAAATCCTTGTAACTGTATCAATAGACAAAGTCGTATAAAAAAGGACTGAAATCAAATTTTTCGCCTTACATTTAGACCGCTGAGGTTTTGTACTAATATGAACATTTTTATTTAAGTACACTATTTCTCAAAAGAATCGCTTAGAATATAGATATTTTAGCTAATTTGTGCACTGCGGACTTCAAATTAGAAATGTAGGAAAATCTAAATTCAGACCTGCCCAGGTTGCCTTTTGTTTAATACCAGAACTCATCAGTTACATGGAGCGGATGATGAAAGACAGAGTTTATATAAATTGCTATTATATAAATAGTAGTAGAATAATTTTAAACTTACTGTTTGAACACTGAAAGTTGCGTAGCATGAAAATTCGATAGGCCTAATATATAATAATAATAAATTAATAAATTTACTATTAAGATAACTTTCCCTTTACGAAGAAATACATAATTCCTCTAGAAATATGTCTCATAATCATTATCACAATAGTAATCATAATCAAATTCCGTTAATAATAACGACTATATACCAAATTTAAATGCAGAAATAAATATTTATATAATTACTAGCTATTTACACTTTCTTCTTGTTCTCATACTTTTTCATAGATTTATTCTTTTCTTTAATTTAAATTCAAAATTTTTATTGAAATTCGCAAAATAACTAAAATGTACTCAATATAAAATAAACATTGACAATATAAAGAATACATATATTATGTAATCTCGTAAAAAACGAAAACAAGACTCCCATGATAACTCGAGTCTGGATCATATATAAGTATATTAAACAATAATTATATTGATTAATATTTCTTTTTTAAATTTTACCCAGTTTAAACCTATTTTAACATGTTATAATATCTTATTAAATATTTTTCTGTTGTACATTTTTTTTTTATTTCGTTTATAAACTAAAAATATACTTTTTGGTCCCTCTATATGGGATATCCAGTTCTTTAATAGTGACTTACTTATATTTCTATTACTAAAAAGTGGTCTTATTTCCTCAGGAATATTATTATAAAATTTTTGCATGAGATATAATAAACTTTAGGAAGTTTTAAATTCCCATGTTCTTCAGCTCTTGTTTAATATATTGATTTTATTTTTATCATCTTTCCTCTCATCAACTTCCAAGTTCATTTTGTGTCTCTTTTCTATTCTCTTTAATCCATTCAAAGTGACTGTTTATGTGGTTTTTTCTTTGCATCTTTTCTAACTTGCGTTTCATAGTCTCTTATTCCTGCTTGTACATTTACATTATTCCTGGTTTTCCATTTCTTCTATTCTTTGTAGATGCTACCACACCTTAACCTTTAAATCTCTCTTTAAAATATTGCGTTTCTTTTTATCATTTTATTGTAAGTACAATAGGTTGATTTTTCAGTTACTCTTCACTTCCCCCGGATGTACTGTTCTACCGTTGTTTCACAATACTTCTATCCTTATTTATATCTTACTTACATCTACTTCCTTTCTACTCAGTTTTCTTACATTTTCTCTATTCATCCCAATCCCCATTTCACCTTCCTATTGTTTTCCATTTCTGTCTTTATCAAATATCTATTTCTCAGCTTTTTGTTCATTCATTTTCATTATTTCCATAAAATATGCCCAAATTTCCCAAATGCGACTTATTTCCATGTTCAGTCTTCCTTTTTCCAATTAACATATGATATATATATATATGGTGGTGTACTCCTATTAATTTTAATTTTTCACTCTATGCCTTTTCTCTGCTTCTTCTCAATCTTTTTGTTTCTATTTCCACCGCCATACTTTTGCTCCATACAATATCACTGATTCAACTAACATGTCAAAAAGTTGAACTCTTTGTTATATTCTATGTTGCATTAAATGACCTCTGAGCTTTCACTCATTGCTCATTGGTTTTTCCATTTCCAATGCACACTTCTTTCCCAACTTCAGAATACTGTAATCTTCGACTTATCCATCTTCCATCTTCGTATCCTTTCAACATTACAGTCCTTTCTTGTCAACTTCCACTGTCAGTTTATTCTCTTTCAAATCATTTGTGAAAGTCGTAAATAAAATTGGTCATTCTTTTTGGCCTCTTCTTGTGTCCAGAATTCGTCGGTTCATCTTTTATTCTTGTCTTTATTTATAACTCCCAAAATAACATTATTTCCATTGCATCAAACGCCGACTATAAATCTATGAAGAAAGACCAAATTTATTCATTTATAGCTTATATATTTTTTTAGCGCATTCAGGATGAAAATGATACTTCTAGTCTAATACCAGCATGGTTATTTGTAATGTTTACATTTCTTCCACCCATTTTCGTGACCTTTCTGATATCATATTAATTAAAATGAAATAAAAACATTTATCAGCGTGAAACTCTATATTTTATGGCCTATTTTTCCTTTCTTGTCTTCTGTATGGGATACATTTCTCTCCGTATTATTACACACAGGTCTAATTCCATTGGGTCTCGTTTAGAAACCATTCTATACATTATACATTCTTTCCAAAATTTTCTCTCTCATTTTCGGTGCAACTAAATTTGTACTTTTATCCTTTCTTGTTAAATATTATCATAAAATAAGTGAATGTTAATGATATATGTTAGACAATTTTCATTTGCAGTTTTTTATTTATTTTTTTCCACTACAAATGAACATGTTTATTACCACTTCCTTTTGCAAGTCATATGTTGCCAGTGAATTAAAACTTGTACACGTACATCAGTACAATAACTAAATGTTCACACGCGTGTGAAGTGATACACTTGAAGACTCATTACTGTCCTTCATTCACTTCTGAAAATTAGTTAAATCTAAAAAAAATTACTGAATTAACTGCACCATTGAAGAAAATCCTTAATGTATAACATTAAGGATTAATTAGAATGTAACTTATAATTCAAGAGAATAACAATACTTTACAAATCAACAGCTGCAAGTTCATAAAGGTTAATTCCTAGTAAACAAATTATACATACTCTTGTTAGAAACGTTATAAGGACTAATGTTTCTTTAAGACAACCTTTTAAAATGCATGAAGTAAGTAGTAATTTAAACATTTCTATTTTACAGAATGTATTATCAAAATAAGATGATTTCAAGAAACATCAACCTGGATCACATATGAAAGTTTAAGACGGTTCTTATTACAAAAGTTGCTTAAATCCGAGAATGAAATCAATTTAAGATGATTATCTCAAAGAAAAGGTCATCATCTACAATGAAGGTGCTAATTGTTGCTGTTTAAGATAACAATGTTCTTAATTATGTTCAATACCTTAAGCTGTACACATTACCCCAAAAATTTATAATATACTCAAGAACTTAAGCTGTACACAACACCCCAAAGATTTATAATATAATCAAGAATTTAAGCTGTACACATTACCCCAAAGATTTATAATATACTCAAGAATTTAAACTGTACACATTACCCCAAAATTTTATAATACACTCAAGAACTTAAGATTTACACATTACCCCAAAGTTTTACAATATACTCAAGAATTTAAGCTGTAGAAATTACCCCAAAGTTTTTTAATACACTCAAAAAACTTAAGATTTACACTTTACTCCCAAAGTTTTATAATATACTCAAGAATTTAAGATGTACACATTACCCCAAAGGTTTATAATACACTCAAGAAATTAAGCTGCACACAATAGTCTTCAAGATCCTAGTATTCTTTATTATGCTCACCACTATGCTGTACACGAGATCCTAACGATCTTGTTATGCTTAAGACCTTATGCTATGCTCAAGATCCAAACGTATTCTAGACTTTATGCTGTACACGAGACTTCAACATCCTTTGTTACACCCAAGACCTTATACAATACAA